TTCCACCAGGGCTGGGTCACTAGCCCTGGTGCCTGTCACTACTGTTCGGTCCAAGTTCCCCTCGATGGTAGGGTAATGGTTCTGAGTGCTGGTCACACTGAGGTAGGATAGTAGGAATAGGGGGTGCGCTAGGAGTATTGCCGCGAGGATGGGATGGGAGGTAGCCTCGTCTCTTCAGGCCAACCATGGCTGACAGCTTCTGGCGATCAATGTGAGCCTAGTAACTGGCCTCTACAACACCCTGGAAAAAAAAAAGAGGATTGGATTAAGCACCTGAAGCTGGCCGTTTTTTTTCCGCCGGGATGCAGAAATCCAGATCACTTGCGATTCTCTGCACTTCTCCTCGCACACGTCCAGATTCAGACATTGAATCTAATCATCTTGCTAGTAGGACCTCGCCCCTGCATGCCCCTACCTTCTTTTTTTCTTTTTCTTTTTTGGCATGCACCTACCACAGTCTACCTCCCCGTCTCCCCCCCTCCCGCCCAAAAAAAAAAATGACAACTTGAAAATCAACCCTATCATTAAAAAAAAAAAAAAGGGAAAAAAAAATCAACCCTATCTTGGAAGCCGCCAACACCTATGGGCACCGCAGCACCTCAGGGGCGAGGTCCCACTAGCATACTGGATGAGATTAGGAAACTGAATCTGGATAGTTTCTAAGCGGAGATGCAGAGAAGCAGCTCAATCACTGTTTTCTGCATCTGTACTGAAAGACGTTCAGATTCAGGCATTACATCCAATCACCTGTGCTAGTGGGGCCTGCCCAAGGGTGGGGTATGTAGGGGTTCAGCTGGCGATATCGTCAATGAAAACGAACATGGAAAAAAAAAAAAAAAAAAAAAAAAAAGAGAGAAAAACTTTTAAAAGAGAAAAATGAACATGGTCTCTTTTCTCCTTCTTCTTCTTCTATGACACTCGCTAAACACTCCTCGGGCGCGTAAAATCCCCGAGGAAATTATCGTTCCACCTATCCTCGGGGACAAGAAGAAAAAGAAAAGTGAAAACATTTTCTTCGGGAATCCTCAGGGCGTCCTCGGGCTACAGCCATTTTGTGGCCTTCCCCAAGGTACCTCCCGAGGTCCCTCGGAGGTCAAGGATCCGCGATAATCGAAGCGGCGAGGGCACTGTCGGCAATAATTTTTTGTCAGCTGGTCCATTGGAGTACCGACCGGCCACCGCACGGACATCTTGGGTCGTCAACATTCAGCTTCCACAATCCTTACGCCAACGATAACCGTTGGTGGCCAGGCGGCCTCCGCGAACGTCTTCAACCAGTGTTCTCCCTTGCAGCGTGTGCTTTAAACGGATAGGCTTCAACGGTCGGCAAAATTGAATATTTTAGCCGACCCACCTTTCGATTCCCCATTGTACTCGGCAGCGTAAAACGCTAGAGGGCATTTGTCGGATGCTGACGTCTGCCGTTCGCTGCCCTCTTCATCACCGTTTGGTAGAGTTGTACTGACGTCATGTAGTTACTGCGCTTCCCTACGTGTCGTTCATGGCCGACGTCTTTCGAAGGCTGCCGCTGCTGCTCTTGATAATCATTTTGTTTGTCCTTCTAATCGTCTTACACGTCTGCATCCTCGGCAGGCTGTCTGGACGCACACGCAAGAGGTGTTATGCGAAGAAGGGCGTCATCATGGACTGACGCCAGGCGAAGAGCAGGTCTTTCGTGGACCACGCCACAAGCCACCGCGCAGGCCATGTCCTGGCTCGCAATGCAAGGGTGTACGACCCGTTAGAGTGTGTGTGTCGTATGCTGTCCTCTACCATCTGCTCTCTTGGTCGTTGTTGTTCAGTGGACCTTCACCGTAGTCGTAGAGTTACGGCGCTGTCGTACGTGTCGTTGATGGCCGACCTCTATTGAAGGTTGCCACTGCTGCTCCTAGTCGCGATTTTGTTTGTTGTGGTCCTCCTGTTCCACATGTTCATCCTCTATCGTTGATGGACGGCCTCTATCAAAGGCCCCCAATAGAGAAGACGAGGGATCGACATCGACATCGGCAGCACGTCCCGCAGGCGTTCGTCCATACTGGATGCAATCGCCATCGCTTGAAAGACACGTGGCGACATACGCAGCTTCTCCCGAAAGTACTCCTCCGTCGCATCATCGCATTGCCTGAGATACTCCCACGCCCCCCCCATCCTCCTTTTCATCCACCACCTCGACGTCGCTCGTGGAAGAACACTGCAACCCATGGCGCAGCAAACCTGAACTACAGCCTCGGTGATGGCCACGGTATCCAGCCCTTCGACCGGGACTTGATGAAGCGTCTTCCTTCTCCGTGTGAGGATCTGCACTCTCATTCTGCGCAATGCCCTCTCCTGCTGACAACGAAAGAGCACGGCCGTCACGGCCGTCTTCTCGATCGTCAGCAACTTCGCATGTCCGTCGTCGCTGCCGCCCTCCACCGGCATGTGTGTTGCAATGCTCATGAACCACGAAAATACAACAGCCTACCAACTCGCCACGACCACGGTAACCTCAGCGCCAAGTCGCCGACAGTGTTCCCCTCGTGTGCTCGACTCCACACATACGCGCGGCGGCAGGAGGAGGTGATGGCGATGAACCTTCATGGGGCGCTCACAAATTCGTCTAGACTTACGACGACTCCACTGTGCTGCTGCAAATGCCCGTTTCCACCTTCGCCAATATGGAGCCCACCTGCCCGGCGTCGCCATCGTGACGTCCAGCATCCAATTCAAAATTTGATTTTCGAACGGGGAGGTCCATTGCTGTTTAAGGTTTTCTTTCTTCCCGTCGCCAGCGCCTTTCAAAATTTCCCGCCTTTGGCAGCTGGACCACACCATAGCAAGACGGACATCACCCAATGGACCAAGGCATTGCCCTCCCCACGGCCGACTTTAATATTATGAAAATGCCCGCCGGGGACCAAAAGGAATCATTTTTGGGAGACCACCCCGAGGATAGGTGGAACGACGGCGGGAATTTCCTTCAAAACCCCGAAGGAAACTTCCTCCGGCCCCGAGGATGGCCCAAGGAGTGTCTAACGAGCCCCTATCTTCTTCTTGGTTTCAATTAAAACGAACTGCGTCAGATCGTATCCTGAACACGGCCGATGGACTCGATTAAAACGAAGATGAAAAAAAAAGCAAGAAAAAAGAGAAAAAAAAAGGAGAGAAAAAAAAAGACCATGATTAGGCATCGTGGCCATATCGTCAAACTCATGATGAGAAACTCATGTCCAGGGGCGAGGTCCCACTAGCAAAGTGGATGGGATTGGGAAAGTGAATCTGGATGGGCTCTAAGCGGAGATGCAGAGAAGCAGCTCAATCACGGTTTTCAACATCTGTTCCGAAACACGTCCAGTTTCAGGCATTACATCCAATCATCTGTGCTAGTGGGAGCTCGCCCCAGCGTCCTGGCGGATGACCCAACATGTTGCTGGTCACCAGACCCGGTAGAGGGCTAGGTCACCAGATCGGGCACTTCTCAGGGGGGCTACATCATGAAAGGATGCAGAAGTGATGAATCGTCTGACTACGAGACATGACATAGACCAGGGGCACCTCGGAGATCATCTAGAAGGGACGTCTCAGGGTGTACTCACACTGGGAGTATCTCACAAATGTATCTGACGGCATTCACGGCCATACCTGGATGTATCTGGCTGCAATTCC